TGTTTTGACCACTATTATTTTGTCTTCTCAGTTCCATGCACCCAAACTGAATTCTAACTGATACATCTAGGTCAGCAATTTTCAACTGATGTGTCACAAGAATTTTTAAAATGTGCGGTACTTGACTATTTAGTCAAGGGCATTTATTTCTTTTTTCTTAGATTATCAAATAAAAAAATGACAAGAGCCATCACAACAATAGCTGCCTGGTGTGAATGAATCAAACTTATACTTATTTTTCTGTCAGATTGGCAAAAAATATATTTTTTGGTGTGCTGCAGAATTTTAGTAATTAGTTTATGTGTGCCATGAAATGAAAAGGTTGAAAATCACTGATCTAGCTTACCTCTTTTTAATCAAATATATCAAGTCTGTTCCAGAACGTCTGTAAAAAATAATAAAAAACCAAATACCCTGGAGAGTTTAATATAGTGCTTGAATTCAGAGTTCTTTATAGACAGATATAAGATGGAAAGGAGATTCAAATAAGTTAATACATTACAGAGAAGGTTTAATGAAAATATAAAAGGCTGTCTATGCAGAAACTCACACACAGAACAGTAATCAAACAAGCCCAACAATGGATTTAAAGAGGCTATTAGACATGTAAGAATGTGTAGCTAATAAATGCTCACTGCTTTCACTGGAAATTATCATTAATCCAAATAAACCATGAATGAAAAAGTGTGTGCTATTATGACTAAAAACTAATTGATTTTAGGCTTTTAATGTAATTCTGTTGGGTAAGGGCTGGGAATAGATTCTTTTAATATATTTTACAATTGTCAGACCCTTGTTAAAATTTAGGTATTCCGCTTTTGTGCTCCAGATGATGAAGGGAGAGGAACAATAAAAATGATTAAAGAGATAGAAGGTAGGTCATTTGGAAAAGAGTTAAAAACAAAACCCCCCTCAAAATTTGTCTAGCCTGGAAGAGAAAGAGTAAAAGAGGACTTTAAATTATTTCATGACTATGAAAGGTTATTAAAAGGAGGCAAAAAAAGTGGGGGGATGCTGGTAGGTTCTTAGTCACTAAAGTGGAACGAAATTAAATTACTTTAAAGCCAAGAAAGAACATATAGTATGTAGGGTGTTTATGCAACCTGATGTCATTGGAGACATTGAGAATGAGAATCTTAAATCCTAGAGGTTGTTGTATAGTCCAGAGGGGATGTGAGGATATCCCACTGCAGTGTCTCACTCCATGATCAACCAGGTGTGTCCCTCCTGAGGCTGATCCCTGTGGTGCAAAGAAGGGAAGACAGGATCATAGGATTTGGCCACACAACTTTTTAGGAGTCTTCTGATTCTTTGTTGGAAAATTCCTTGAAATACACTCCAGTTTTTTTTTTAAACAAAACAACATATGGCAGCCACTGTTGATTGCGGATGCTGTTGGTGCCTGGTATTCATCCCCATGGCACTTAGGGTCCAGTATATGCTGATGGCACCTGTGAATCTTCAGGGCTTTCCTGTACCAGTGTGTAGCACAGTGCTTTGACCTTACAGGTACTAGTATATCACCTGGGTATGAGTTTGCCATGCCTGCCCACTGACCCTTGCCTGCACCACAATCCAAGGGCTCTCAGAGTGTCTGATTAACCATCACGAAATCTTACATAGTACTGGTCTGCAACCACCAGACCCATTTTATGGCAGAGGAACAATAATGTTTGTGTGGCTATGGGATCCAGGGGTCCTACCAAATACTTCATCATAGAGAAGTGCCATCTGGTAGTAGAACTCTTACAGGTCTCTTAAAGGCCCAGCTAAGCAGTCAGTGAGGAGGTTGTTCTTTTGGGGTGGGGTCCTTCAAAATGTGGTATATACTTTGAAGCAAAGGTCAAATTACACCATGTCCCCAGTTGCTAGAATACCATCCCCAGCCCTAGTAAATGGTCTATAATTGAGCTACGTTCATCAAGGCGATTGCATTTGCTAGTGATTGATAGGGGAAGTGGGCTCAGTATATCTTGGAAAGATGTAGCTCCCTGATAAACACATACTGACATGTAGGAAAAACTGCCCTTCCCTTCTAGCTTTGGATGTGCTGTGTAAAGATAATGCTTGGAGCAGTTACAGCCATCTTGTAACCATGAAGGGAGAGAACACGAATACTAAGAATGGCAGAGTGAAGAGACAGAAAAATCTGCTTCCTCGAAGACAGTGAGTCTTAGAAGTAACCCTGGAATTGCTTTCCTCTGGACATTTCAAGTGTGATAACAGATGGTGTTGTTGTTTAAGCTACTTTTCATCAGAGGTGGGTACTTTCAGGTGCTATCGATTTCTTCCCATGGCTGCTTCCTTGTTGATGGCACCTGCCTTCCATTGGAGAGGCCGAAAATGCTGATACTTTCCTGGCCTCCCTTGCAGCTAGGATATAAACACGTGACCCAATGGGACTTGAGCGGTTTGTTGTGAGCCTTCTGAGAAAGGGTTTCATTCTTAACAAGAAGTGGTCTTCAGGAAACATGCCCCTACTCTTTAGCCATTTACTGGTGTGTTTTCATGTGACGCTTGAAGTGGTGGCTGCTTTCTTTGACTAGGATGATGTAAGGATGAAGCCAAGGATACTAAGACTGACAGTGAAAGATGATGAAAGCTCGGATCCTCAGTGACCTGGCAGAGTCCCTGACCCACCTTGGCCTTGCCCGACCTCTTGAATTATTTTTATGTGAGGTACACAAATGTCATAGTTTAAGTTGTTTTTTGTTCAATGTTCTCCTTGCAGCCAGAGCCATCTTAATGCAAACACATAGTATCATATACCACCTCAGCTTCCCCCTTTCCTCCATTCTGCCGGAAATGAAAAAACAAAGTGTCTGTTAAACTTTTAACATAAGCTTCTCCTGGTTTTACATTACAAAAATTACGGAAAATGCTAGTATTATTTTGCAATACAGCCACAGACTATTTCTTCCTCCCTTAATGAAACAGATCATTAGGTATTCATGAGAACCGCAAAGGCATTTCCCTCAGTACTTCTGTAATTTGGAGAAATAACAAAACAATAAAAGGAACCTGCTGGATATTTTCATTCAGTTCCTTTATAGTTTTGGAATTGAATTTTTCTAAAAAGGAAAATGCAGCCAAATTCTGTAACTGTCAAAAGCTCTAAATAAAAATAAAAGTATACTGAAATATTTTCTAAAAGAAAGCAACTACTCGTGTATTCTTTTTAAGACAAAACATCTAAAGACTAGAAATATTACATTTCTGTTTAGCCTAAGCAAGCAAGATGAGAATTTAAAATTTAAATTCTGAGTAATATTTTCTTTTAAAAATATGTCTCATATATGTACATATATGTATGTGTATATAAAAGGTACATATGTGTACATGTACACACATACATGTATACATACAAATAAATATATTGATTCACACATATATTTTATAATATGGAAAGAAATAGTGAAGAAAAAAGAAAAATAAAATAATGAAGAAAGATGTTAAGATGTTGCTGGAATTTAATAGTCTGCTAGTCAACTAAGGTTCAATATTAGTTTTCTTCTCTTCGAAATTAGTTATTTTTCGAGAGGTTGTTTTTTCCTGGTCTTGGAGCTACTACTTCTAAAATATACTTCCCGTTGCATGCAGAATGGCGGTAGTCTTTTCAGATAAGAAATTCTATATTCCATTTATTGTCAGGGTGTATCCTTTGATAGTGTTTTGGTCGATTAACAAGCAACGGAACATACAGTATTTTCTAGTGGAAGAACAGGTTGCCTGAGTCAGGGATACATTGTTTTACGTAGCTAAACTGGCCTGAGCCCAAGGTAAGAGAGCTTACTTTGCGCTGTGTATCATCACTCCACCTAGTTCAAGTTCAGGCAGCTTCCCATATTTTGAGATTCTCCTGGGAAGTAAAGCCCCTGCTTTAGCCTGAGGCTGGCTCAAGACTGTCACCTTTCACCTACTTAACGAAATGTTTTGCTTCGCAGCATCGAGATTTACTATTCAAGTCGCTATTTCTAGCCCCAACACTACTTTAAAAAAAAAAATCAAAACCCTCCAAATCTGTTTTATTTCCCGTGCTATCAAATCTGATTTAATGTTACAATTTTGGTCATAGACTAACTAAATAATATGTTGGATTAAAAAAAAAAGCCCAAACCTACTGCTACAAGGTGGTCTTTCTTACAGTGCACTACAGTTAGGGTTTTAGTCGTTCGTGTTTTGGTATCTACTTTTTTGTCTGAGGCAGTCTACCTGCTTTCCACATCTTTAATACTTTCTGTGGTGTCTAAAATGAGATATAAAGGCAAACTCTTAATCAGAAACACTTTTAGATTCATAAGAACATCCAAAAACAATAATTTGGAGAGTAAACTTTATCCTTTGAGAACAAGTGCCAACTTTGCATAAATAGTGCATTTAGGGGAAATGGGTTATTTGCTTGGTTAGGTGAAGCCAAAACAAAAGAAATAATAAAGGAACATGTTTTGAATTTTTGAGCCCCTTTCGCTTGTGGCATTTTCAAAAATCATTTTATTTGACAAAAATGACAGAAATTTGTGCAAAAACAGGATACCCACTCTAGTTAAGAATGAAAATAATATGCATATTTTTTCCTGATCTAGACGAATTTATATTTACAGCAGTAAAATTGCATTTTCCGTTCTGGGTTTTTTTTTTTTTTTTTTTTTTTTGAGGGGGGGGCGGTGTGGGAGTCTTTTCCCGCAGGAGGGACGGCCCTTTCCGCAGACTCTGCGGGACCCGCCTCCCTCAGTCCCAGTCCCGGCCGCAAAGCCCGGCTCTCCTCCTCTCGCTGTCGCGGTTCAGACCCTCTCAGCCAACCCGGTTCTCGCCCCGTGGCGGCTGCGGCCGGGTCCTACCCGCGGAGGCTCCGCCAAATGACCCGTAGTAACCCCGCTCCACCCCCGGCAGCCCGCGCCGCCGGAACTCGATAGGCCCAGCCTCGCACGCGCCACCGCCCGCGGGCCAATGGGCGGCTGTCTTTTTGCATATGCAACGAGCGCCTGCCCGGGAAGCGCGTCCCGGGCGGTTCGGCTCAACAGACGCTGGTGTGCCGGCGCCCGTGAGAGGCGCTGCAGTTGTCGCCGCGGCCGGGGCTGGGACGAGGCGGCGACAGCGGACGGGACAACCCAGGGTCGCCCACTCGCTGTGCGGCCGCGGCGGCTGCGCCCGAGTCTCCAGGAGACGGCGCGGGACGTGAGTGTCCTGGTACGCAGCCAGGCCTGCGTGGGCCGGAGGCCGCAGGAACCGGAGCCCGGGCGCCGCGGTGAGCACGGCGCCCATTGTGGAAACGGCAGGGGCCGGTGGACTGGGCGGCCTCCGCGTGCGCCTGGGGTGGGCCCAAGGGCGGCCCCGGCGGGGGTGGTGGGGGATGAACGTGGGCCACCTGGGGGCCTCGACTCCCCGCTGAAGCCGCGGAGCCCGGCTCCGGGGGTGTGCGCGCAGGTAGCCGCGGAGTCCCGAGCCGGCTAGCGGCGTGGGGACAAGCTGCGGGCGGAGTGGGAGGCGCCGCGGTCGGGTCTGGGAAGTGGGTGACGTGGGGCCTCGGCCGAAGCGCCCACGTGAGCCGGGGAGCGGTCGGGGGAAACCGCGGCTGGAGGCGCGCGGCTGTCCCGGGGTGGAAGGATGCACGGGGTCTCCCTGCGCTTTGGGGGCGGGGCGGAGCAGGGTGGGCGCTGGCAACTCGGATTGGATGGGCTCTGACGCGGTCCTTGGGAGAAACTGAGTCCTACGATCGGGAAAACCCTGTTGGAGGGATGGGTGGGGATGTCTTGCTGCAGGGCGTGAGAAGAAATTGGGTGTGTGAGGTGAGTCGACCTTGGTATTGGGTTCGGCTACCGTCTGCGGCGGTGGGACGGGGATTAAGGCTGACCGCTGTTTTGGGGTTGAGAGAGAGAGGGAGTTGATTTACTTTTCTCTAAATGCGTTGTAATTACATACCAGTAATAGAATGTGCAGCACGGAGGGCGTGCTGACTACCAGCAGTCCTGGGGGTAGGTATTATCAGGCCCGTTTCAGAGATGAGGAACCCGAGGCAGTGAGTCATTGAACTGGTTCGCCCAGTCCGGTTTTTAAAAAATGTGCTCTCGGTTACTGTATATATGGCCCCTCAAAAAATAGAAAGGTTGGGACAGTGTCTTTAAAATTATACGTTAAGCAGGTGGTGATGGAAGGAGACTTACTTGACTTGGAGGGTCGAACACACAATACATTGTACACATGATGCATTGTGGAATTGTGCACCAGAAACCTGTATAATTTCGTTAACCAGTGTCACCCCAATAAATTCAATAAAAAGAAAAATTTATATGGAAGCTGGAGAGGGACTAGGCCTTGTGAAAGTGATTGCAACTGAGTAAAATGACAAATAGTTGGCATTTATTGAGCCTTTATTACATGCCAGGCACTGTACTAAAGAGCTTTATGCATGGTGTCTTTGTACTGTTAACAACCGTCCAGGGCAGTGGTTGTTCCGGAGCAGCCGGAGGAACTGCAGTCTGGACACGGACACATGAACTTGTCTCAGACCACAGCAAGTGAGAAGAGAAGGTGGGATTCAGAACATCTGTCTAAAAATCCAGAGCTCTCAGAGTATTCTGCTGACTCTCCTTGGCGGCTGGCTGAATAGTTGCCACAGCTGATTTTTGTTTGGGTGGCCTGGAGAACTGTGGTTTGGTGATACAGCCTTTCTCACTGTGGGATTAGCCCCCAGAGTTGAAGGGTGCTGCTGAGTTGCTCCTGCAGCGTTCCAGGTTACTACTTGAGGAGGTGTTGTGAGTCTGTGGCACAGACTTTATTCTTTTGTTCTGCATCTTCCTGTGCAGGTCTCACCCTTAGGGATGAGTAAGGCTTCTGTAGTCAATCTGGCCTTTTTTCGTCAGACTTGTTTCGTGGTTTCTCTCTTCTACCAAAAGGGTTGGTTCTGTAGAGTGGCATTGTTAATGGAAGTAGGGCAGAGAGGTCGAGGTGACAAGTCACCTGGTGTCTTTTGGTTTCAGTTACTGGATTTATAAGACATTTGGACTGGGTGATTTAAAGCTGAGCTGTTCTGTGAGTCTAAAGAGGTCCTCCTTTCAGGAAAAAAGGATGGAAGAAATGAAGGATGGACAAATTATGGGGAAAATCATGCCCTGTTGGATTTGGGGGAATCAGATCTTAAAGCTCTTTCTCACTGCTTATGTGCTTTTCTGCGGTCGGCTTCTGCTTAAATGGTTACTTCACCCCTCATTCAATTAATTGCTCAGTTAGAGCCTTTAACCTCCTGTTGTATGTCAGGCACCGTGTAAGGTGCTGGGGTACAGCAGTGAACAGAATTGGTGTGATCCTTGACCTCACTGAGGAAACCACAAAACCAACGTGAAGCAAATCATCATATGAGTAAATTGTAAGTTAGGATATGCAGTGAAGGAAAAGTGAATGAAGATTATAATGAGGATTGTGATTTAGATGGAAATGTAGTCTAGGCAGTTTTTTAAACTGATGTGGTGGGATTTCACTAGAATGACAATCGTGCATTCTGAGGCTGTAATGAAGTGTACCTAATGGGTCTGAGAACTTTCGAGCAACATTTCATTTCACAGTATCTGTTCCTAATCAGAATATCACTCATATTGCAAGATGTGAAAATGAGATAGGGACCTTTTTCAAGTAGTCATTCTGCCTACCTTCACGGTACTTAAAGCTTAAACATTCCTGTAATGCTTAAGTTTTCCCCCTCAAAATTCACCTTTGGGAAGCAAGAATCACTTGGGGAGAGGATTTGGATGTTTTCAGCAAAGCAAGGCCAAAAAAGGTGACAGGATTTTCTGACTTTAAATATATAATAAGCATCATAATTATCAAAAGTATCCAGCATAGTTTACAGTTACAGAGTAATTCTCACTTCAAAGGAGATAAAAATGATGACATGATTTGGGAAATAATAAGCTGTTAAATATGTGAATATTTCAGTTGAATATGTATTAAACCAGTACAAATGATTCATTGCAATATATTTACTGAAGATCATTTGCATACAAAGAACTGTGTTAGGTGTGCCATGTGGAATAAATAAAAAAATGAACTTGAGAAAGTCTTACTTTCAAGGCATCTATTTAAAAAATACTGATACTCAGACTAAGTGTTTTTTTTTTTTCCTTTTTTCAGAGTACTGTCATGTTAGCTCATTTGATTCTCTTAATAGCCTTATATCATGAGCGAGAAGATGGAAATTTGGAGGTAAAGTCTCAGACGCAGGGATTAATAGTACAGGGAAGGGAGAAGGAGATGTTATCACTACGTTGCCATTTTGGAGCCATCAGTGGAGGTGATGGCTGAAACCTGGCATGGGTGCCATTGTCTGTGGAGAGACTAGAAAAAGAACAGGAGGAGGCCTGGGATGGAGCCAGCGAGAGGAGGCTGAGCTTGCGAAGGAGCCCAGAGGAGTGGCCAGGGAAGTGAGTGGGCAGCCAGCAGCAGGTGTCCCTGCAGCCGGGGGAAGCGGTTAGTACTGTGGAATGCTCCTGTGAGAGGGAAATCGAGTCCAGTCCATTGGCTTTAGGGACTGGGAAGGTGTGAGTTGAGTGGGAGAAGTTGAGTACAGATGAGAAAAGTGTTACTCATTGATACCAAGTCCCTGAGAGGCTGGGAGGGGATGGGATCCAAAGCACAGGCTGGCAGGGCGAGGGGGGGGGGGCGGGGAGGACGACACCTCTTCCGTAGTAATAGGAGATAGGCCTGTCATTGCACTGTTAGAAATCAGTATGTCATCATGGAGCCCCAAGCAGTTTCCAAACAATTGCCAAGAATTGTTACATTCTCATGAAAATCAGCCCACTGTTAGTTCACTGTTGGCACAGTCATCTTGAACACCTTTCTACAGAAGAACAACTCTCTTCTTCCTTCCTTCATTCTTTCTTTCTGTCCTTTAACTGATACATTAAAATCTGCACATATTTAATGTGTACAATTTGATGAGTTTGGACATGCATACACCTGTGCAGCCATTACCACCATCAAGGTAATAGAAAGGGTCATCACCTCCAAGTTACCTTGTGCCTCTGGGGTTTTTTTTGTTGTGTGTTTGTTTTTGTTTTTTTTTCTGACCCTCAGAAGTAGTGTTTTGGTAAGGAGTAAATTCTGAATCTGGGTATAAGTAAAGCCATTATATAAATAAAAGCCTACATCACTTAAAGAAGACTAAGAAATAGTAACCATTTAAGGACAAGTAGTGGAGTTGTAGGAAGATGCTTACAAGGTGTGGTTAATGTGAGAGCACAGTACAGAGGACAGAGTAGCCAGGGAAAGGTCAGCGGAGCAAAATGAGACATAGGTTGAATTTTAAGAAAAAGTTGAGTTTGAGGAAGGTAGTCAAATGGGGATGTCCAGGGCAGTTGGGGAAGAACAGGATTGATGGGTAAAATTGAGGCATCAGCTGTTTGGGGGGACCAGGGAAGCTGTGAGGATACATCACATCCCAGGAGGGAAGCCAAATGCGAAGGTTAGGTTGGAGGACACAGTTAAGTCCTGGCACAAACTTGTCTATTTATCCATTCCTTCGAGTCACAAAGTAATAGTTGAGTGAATGAAAGGTCCTAGCCTGGACAGCCAGCAAGTGAAGACAACCGTGTGGGCTCTGAGTTGTTACAGAAAGGGCACAGGGGTCTGGCCCAAGCTCTCTCTGATCCTGCTGCTGTGACTGCCGGTGTGGCCCCGCCGTGTGGCCATGTGCACCCCAGGCCTGGCAGTTGTCACGCTCTGGCTGTTTGGCCTGTCTGGAGCTCAGTTCCCTTGTCCGTAGCACTTTCTTGCTCAACAAACTTATCTGCTTCTCCATCAGTGTTTTTCGTCTTCACCTCCTTTTCTACCTCTTCATTTTACTTGGCTCACGCTTTTTGTTTTCTGGCCATATTTCTGTCTTAGGTTTCTTTGAAATTTTATTAGTTAGCTTTGTGCATTTCCCCCTGTGTGTTCACTGATGAGTTTATTACTGGAATTCACTGGGGTACTTGCGTGGGTTTTATTGGATGTTAACTACCCTGCTGCATAGATAGTCTTAGCCTTTTTAATATTATTTTAGTTCTAAATTGGTTTTGTAGGTATATAACTGTTTTTCTGCATTGCTCTTTCAGGGTTTTAAAATATTCAGTATCATTTTGGCTAAAATTATAAAAAGTTCCTACTTTAACTATAAAAGTTTGTTATTTTTAGTTATTTTACTTTTATTGGGATTGCAGTGATTCTCATTGTGGACCTTGACTTCCCGTGTTTTTACTGTAAGACTAAACC